AAGTTGAGAAGCATCTTGTAAGCAGAGTTCATCTAAATGAAACTTCTGAACATGATAAATAAAAAAGTATGCAAATGTTTATTTTTCTTTTTAAGCCTTGATATACTTTCAAATAAATGAATACATAGATACAAAGTCAATGTGATAGTATAATTGATATCTCACATCTTTCTTATATAATTATTTCAACTGTTTTTATCTGTTAGTAAATGCCAATATTCTTATGAATTTTCATTAATTTTCTAATGGTTGTAAGTTGTGATATAAACACTACCTTTATATTAACCTAGAATCAGTCAAAGATGTGCCCGTCTTTGCAATTCTCACCGATTTAGATAAGCTCAGGACCCTCAACTGCTTGACTTTCACGCTACTCATAATAATAATGCCACCAACATAGACCTACGTAGAGCTTTTGTGTTTACAAAGTGCTTTCACATACAATAACATCTCATCTTTAATGTAAGACAAGCTGAATGAGTGAGGATAAATGGAAGCAGACAATGAGTGGCCTGGGCCTGCCTCCCAAACAGCAGCATAACAAAGAAGACATTCCAAGCTGATGACTCAAATCCTGGCCCACAGAACATAATGGGACGATGCAAGATTTACGCATCAGTCACCCGTCTACAGGGTAGACCCCGTGGGGGTTAGAAGCACATGATGGATAAACTGAGGCACAGAGAAGTACCAGTTGTATACTATACATGCATACAATTGTAATTGGTAATATTCAATTTCCATGAATGCCAATCTCGAATTCAAGGGACAGATTTCCACATCACAGTCACCAGTCTATGTAAATGTGTCGAGGGACACAGTCACCAGTCTACAGGTTAGAAGCACATGATGGATAAACTGAGACACAGACAAGTACCAGTTGTATACGATAAATGCGTACAATTGTAATTGGTAATATTCAATTTCCATGAATGCCAATCTCGAATTCAAGGGGCAGATTTCCACCCGTTCCAACTGTGTTCCAAGCTTTGCCTTTCCTTTTGTGCTTGGGAGCTAGGCACTACAGCTATGATGGCAAAAAAGAACCTCCTCCTCTCCTCTGTATATTATAAAAAGAAGGTAACCAGCCCCTGCTTGCAGGGCCACTCCATTCCAGGCACACACGTTTTATTGGTGCCAGGGAATAATTTCAGACAAGTCTTATCTCTGGACTTGCTCACCTCCTGGCCACCCACCCAGTGGACTTTGTAGAATTCCTTCCTTTGCAGGAATGAGAAGAGTCTGCATAAAGCTGGGGGAGGGGATCTCCCAGTGCTCCCGCGCTGCTCTCAGAGAAGAGAATGACGGAGGGAGGCTGGGAGAAGGGGAGTGATTAAACAGTCTTGTCTTCAAAGCCCTGTTTCCTGCTTATGTTTGCTAGATTTATCTAAGAAACAGTTCCTCATGTTGTTACCCCGCACCTCCAGGCTCCAGGAACACTGGGCAGGAACACTGAGCATACCTGCTTTCTGTCTCATCTCCAGGCCTTTGGCCAGGCCGTTTCTATGCCTAGACACCTTGTCTCCTGTATATCTGGCTAACCTCAACTCATCCTTCACTCTCAGCTGAGGTGTCACCTCACTGAGGAAGTCCCTCTGATCCTGTTTCCTGGCCTGGGCCTTCTTCCGCGTCGCAGAGCACCTGACATAATCCTCTCATATAGACTTAATCTCCCTCATATAGAGTTGAATTGGTTGACTTGTTGCTAAACATCTCGAAGGTCAGGACTGAGTCTTTGGCCGAGGTATGTCCAGATCCCAGCACAGGGTTGAAGGCATCGTCAACCTACAACAAATATTTATTGACTAAGGAGCAGAAAACCAACTTAATTATTAGTGGCTGAAACCTAATTTAACTCCCCAGGGATCCCCGCTAAATTTATAAAACTAAACAGTAAAACTAAAAATGCTTTTTCAGTATGAGACTTTTGTAAGTATTTACTTGGGGCCAAAATACATAAATGGATAGCAATCTTCATTTTTCATCTCTATACCCACATATAGTAAAACACACATTTTAAAAACAATTTTATTTAAAATTAAGAAAGTTAAGGTCAGGCTCGGTGACTCAACCTGCAATCCCAGCACTTTGGGAGGCCGAGGTGAGTGGATTGCCTGACCTGTGGGTTCGAGACCCACGTGGGCAACTTGGTGAGACCTTGGTTCTACAATAAATAAAAAATCAGCCAGGCATGGTAGCGCGCCCCTGTAGTTCTGGCTACTTGGAAGGCTGAGGCGGAAGGATTGCCAGAACCTAGCAGGTCAACACTGGGATGGCCACGAGTGTGCCGTGGCACTCCAGCCCAACAGAGTGAGACTCCAGTGCAAAAGAAAAATAAATAAATAAATAAAATCAAGAAAGCTAAAAAGCTTGAAGCAGTCGGTGAAATTTGCTTCAGTGGTGATTCACAATGAAACACTACAGATGAATTCGGTTATTTATGCATCATTTATCTAACTGTGCTACTCAAATTTCAAAATGTAAAATAAAAAACTTATAAATGTAAAATAAGGAGTGATGGGACTGTTTCTGACTTATGTTTGCAATATTTATTTTCGAGTTTCTGCTTCGACTAGGATGTTTTTGAGATATTAAGTCAATGGATGGGTACCTTTGTGAATTCAAAGTTCCTAGCTTCCCTGGAAGCTCTGCTCCTCCTAGAACCAGTAGCATTCACAACTTCCACAACTGCCCCAATATTTTGACTGAATGCTACTGGAGGCTCAACATTCGTGATCTGGAGGGTGGCAGAGAGCTGGCGCTACCCCAGGTCTGTCTCAGAGGAGATGTAAGTGTCTCAGAGAAGGCCCACACGCCGTTCACGGTCCCACCTGCAAGGGCCTGTGGCGAGTTACCAGCACTGGCGGATGAGGCAGGGGCTGGGCAGAGCTCGAAGACCCTGTGCCATGCCCAGTGTGTGGAGAATGCAGCGGGGTTCCAAGGCCCTTCGAGGCACGGGAGAGACTGGCGAGCCCAAAGACACAGGCGGAGAGAGGAGGAAGGCTGGGAAGCAGGGTCCTCGGAGCTGGGGGCGAAGGGCAGGGTCTCCGGGGTGGACAGGCGGCACACCCAGCGCCACACCCACACCAGGCAGGAACACCACACGGCACCCCCGGTGGTTGGGCTGCGGGGCTGCTCTGCCACTGGAGGTACCCCTCCCACATCCACTTCTGCCCACGGGTTTAGGAATGCGGTCCCTTGCACCCAGAGGCGCTGGAAAGGAGGAGAGGGTGGTAAGCCTGAACACATGACGGGGAAGAAACAGTCGTCAAACACTGCTTCTCTGAATGAACTAAATCCTTGTTCTCAAGGACAGAGTTACCCTTAATTGGCACCTGTCTCTTTTTAGTTGAAGTCTCACTCCATCACCCAGGCTGGAGAGTAGAGTGCCACGTTCACGGCCACCCCAGCCTCGACCTGCTGGGCTCCGGCGATCCTTCTGCCTCAGCTTTCCAAGTAGCTGAACCTACAGGCACGTGCTACCACGCCCGGCTAATTTTTTTTTTTGAGTTGGAGTCTCACTCTGTCACCCAGACTGGAGTGCAGCGGCCGCTCCCGGCCACCGCAGCCTCGACCTGCCGGGCTCCGGCGATCCTTCTGCCTCAGCCTTCCGAGTATCTGGAACTACAGGTGTGCACTACCACGCCTGGCTAATTTTTTGATTTATTGTAGAGGTGAGGTCTCGCCAAGTTGCCCAGTTGGGTCTTGAACCTGCGGGCTCAGGCAATTCACTCACCTCAGCCTCCCAAAGTGCTGGGATTACAGGCTGAGCCACCGAGCACCCGGCTAATTTTTGATTTATTGTAGAGACAAGGTCTCGCCAAGTTGCCCGGGGTTGGTCTCAAACCCATGGGCTCAGACAGTCCACTCGCCTGGTCTTCCCAAAGTGCTGGGATTCCAGGCTGAGCCACCGAGCCTGGCCTAATGGGCACTTTTAAGGCCAGTCCTCCCAGTGCTCCACACCATACCCTCAGGAATAGGGAGTCCAGAGCAATATGTGGTCAGGTAAAAGGTAGCTTAACGTGTTCTTTGTACTTCTGAGCAAGAGTGTATGCATTTCAGCCTACTGCATTACCAGGCATCCTTTGGAAATATTTGGCTAAGCAATCATAAACACAAATCTAAAACTATATTGTTTATTCAAAAGTGAGTTTCTCTAGAATGAATTGAAATATTGCCCAGAAGAAGGCAAACACAGAAATAAAGAAACTTCACACTAACATGACATTATTCCATCTGTAATCCTGGTCGCCCTGTCTGTACCAATGGAAGGCCACCTTTCTTCAAGGTCTAACCCAAGGGTCTCCTCTTCTAAGAAGTCTTTCCCAACTCCCCCAGCTGCAAAATGCCTGGGATAGAAACTGCACCTCTAACTTCACGTTTGACTGTAGGTCTAACCTCCCATGTTTTCTTTGGCTTTGAATCCTTGGCTCTGCCTCCCTAGAGTCTAATTAAGGGTTGACTGGATAAGTGAACGAACATTAATAAGTTATCTCTTAGTAAAATAATGAAAGACTTCATAATTTTAGACCTCTTGATGATAACATCACTTGCCCCAAGAATAAAGTCTCTCTTGAAGTCAAGCATTTAAGAATCTTTGAATGCTTAATATACAAGCCTATAATACATTAATTTTTCCAAAAACCAGATATTTTCCAAACCATGGGAGGGAAAGGCAACCTAACCCAATGAGCTCTTGTGAGATTTGTGCATCCTGGCAACCAAAGATCAATGTGAATGAATTTCTAATGCATTTTGAAAAGCGATTGGTATTGATGTGGTGGCAATCACGTTAATATCAATCAAAGGTTACCTGCTACTTACATGGTTTCTGTCCACGTTTATTCAGTAGACTACCATGCACTGATATGTCAACAGCCCAGTGATGCAAAATTCAGGGTTAGACCGCACTTATTCTGTCAGGTAACCCAATCTGGAGCAGGGCTTAAGATCCCCTGTTTCTAGGACATCCACAAACAGCCATTCTGAACTGTACATACCCGGGGGGTTTCTGACTGGGTCCTCCGAGCCACCATGAGTAGCAGCTGCTGTTGAAGGGCACTGACTGCGGGGTCTCCAGAAGATGGCTCCTGACTCTCAGAAGTCGTGGTGCTGGAGGAGCTGACCTGTATCTCTCTGAAAATTGGCAAAACAAAAGATCTGGTTACTTGGAAATAGCAGAAGTCATCTGTGTATTATACACAGACACCAGAACCGTAGGGATGCCCAATGCAGATAGTAGATGAACCTTCACAACCTTACATAAACAGTTAAGAGTTTAAACTTATGCACGAAAGGCTACCGTCAGGTAGATGATCAACAACCTGCCACACATTAAAATTATTCAGGCTGTCCGGAGCGGCAAAGTGACATGGAGTAGGTAGGTAGGTAGATGCCTGGTATTCTAGAGTTGATGACCTTAATTTTTTTACATATTTAGGGGATATGGAAGCAACAGCAGCGGGCTCTAGCCTCATATTTTGTGAAAATAATAAATAGCAGGCTTGATAATTCCCCAGACACCAAGCAGGAAGAAACAGTGATTAACACCTCTGCTACCTCCATATCTTTCCCCATGCCCCTGCCCCAAAGCAAGGAAAGCACATATAGATAAAAGAAAACGCCTCAGGTAACTGAAAAAGAGGACATTACTAATTTAGTTATGATTTACATCTAAAATAGTTTTATTATCTTTAATCATACGTAGATTGACAGGACTTAATAGAGTTTGCTACGCAATCTCAATTCTGACTTTTTTTTTCCTTTGGCTCAGAAAGCCAAAATTAGGACACGGTTCTCCATCTGATTTTCCACCGAGATACCTATAACTTTTAGGAGACAATGTTGGCTGCCTACCCAACAGTCATTGCTAACAGAATTCTTGCTAACATAACCCTGTTTTATGAAATCATCCAAGACTGTGTGCTTTGGAAGAGAGACAGGTCCTTCCCTCACTCCAGGGATAAATCCTGGTCTCCCAGCCATTCAGCCTGGCCAGTGCTTGGCTTTGGAATGAGAAAGTAACACACTTTTAATAGGTCATCAGGGAGCAAAGAGGATTCAGCTGGGGGGATAAAAGTGCTCATGAGCAAGGTTTTCTTGTTCTTAAACAGTAACAAAAGTCAGGGACTGTCTTTCTCTCACTTTCAGATGCTACGTGAGTGAGAAACACTGTCGTGAGGAGACACAAGCCCAAGATGTGGAGAGCTGAGACACGGAAGGGAGCTAGTTTCTGGAGGGCAGCACTGAGCCTCCGAATCCACCAACCTTGTACTGATTATACCTTTGGGCTTCTTGTGTTCTGAGATAACACACCTCATTGTGTAACCCATTTTGAACTGGGTCTTATGTTACTTGCAGCCCAAACCGCATTGACTACAGACATCTCAGGAATGCAGATGCCACAGTAATGTAATTACCTTCTGATTTATAACGTTTCATGATCAAGTTTCTGGCAAGGAGCGTATGTTTCCCTAACTCCTTACTACTATATTAATAAACATGCACATATCTGTCCTCTACAAACAGATTTTAAAATACTTCCACTATTTCTCTGTCTGTCTCTCTCTCTTTCTCTCTTACACGCACAGACATAAACTTCTTTACATTTGTAAGACATAATTTATGACTGATGACACATTCAATAAAGTCTTACTTATGAAGAACCATTTAGGAAACATTATATGACAAAGTCAGGATTTAGGAAATGAATCAGGCGGGGTAAGAACACAGAGTTTGAAAACTTAAAAATCCTGTCTTTCCATTATTTGGACAATTGTTCCTTAAACAGGGCTTTTCCTCCTTGTCTATACTGGTGGCACAATATCTATCGTCAACAAAGAAAAAGATCGGTTCGATTTATAAAAACAATACTCATTCAAACTTTCCTGCTTTGTATAGAAACCACTAAATAATGTGACTGTCATTTCACCGTGAAGCACCTTGTTAATACAAATTCAGAGACTTCTAAAACTCAGCACTGGTTAGAGCTTCACAAAAGCCAAAAGATTAACCTGACAACATTGTAGGTAAGGTAGGTGAGATGATACATAGGCAGGATTGGAAAAGAAATGCATGAGCCTGTGCAAAAATCTGGAAGCTGTACAGCACCCTCTAGTGCCAACTGAAATAAACTAAGAATTGACTGTCTTAGAAGGGGTAACACACAGCAACCCTCCTCCCGCCAATGCCTCCGGCTAGGAACATGGTGCCAAAGAAAGTGTCTGTACACATCAGTTCAATTTTCTCATATTACTTAGCATGTTTCTGACTGAAAATTAAAAATAATAATAATAATAAATAACACTGTTTTATTAGGTAAGCTATTTACTTATACTACTTAAAAATCCGGGGTTCGGTTTTCTTTTCAAACTTCCTTGAAGGATTTCTAGAAATAAACAGAACTGGGCTTAAATGGCTTATTTACTCCTTCCTGTCTGTGACTACCATGCATGTTGCTTTCGTACCTCAAATCCGTCCTATAAAACAGGGAAGGCATTTTCCTCCTAGGGATTGTCATGAGAATTAAGTCAGACCATAAGTAAAGCACGGAACAGTGCCCTCCTTATACTGGGCACTTCACATCCATCCCTGAACTTTTTACTAATTTTGCTAATTCTCATGTTAAATAGCAGCATGACCCCTAAGCTTTTGCACAAAGGACACGTGAGCAGGAATGGGGGAAAGCGTCCTGTCCTCAACACATACCCAATCCTCCTTACTTTATATAGACTCGGGCAGCATACTAAGTTCTCTCTTAACCTCTGTTGCAGGAGGTGAGTATTCTAGACAAGCATGACAATATTTAGAAAGATTCTCTTCTGAGCCTGATGACTGCATGTCCTCATCAGAAACTACGCTGTCATCTGTAACATCATATATAGACACGTGGCTCCTGATTGGCCAAGAGGAGTGGTTCCATGCTTACAGGAAACGTCGCTGAGGTGGAGAAGATCCACTTCCTCACCGAGACATAGTCCTCTTGGGTCCTGAGGGTACAGTTACAATCCATGTGCACCAGCTTGCCCTCTCAAGTACCAAAGGTACTTGTCCTCTCAAAGTCCACAAGAATCATTGGCAGGTGGACAGGAGGCCAGTCTTCAGATGATTCCCAAGTATATGTTCTTTGCTGGTGTCTCTTCTCAGATTACTTGTTGCCTATTTCCCCTGTTTTCAGTTATGCACAACAAGACGCATCGTCACCTAAAAGGACTGTTTTACTAACTTAAAGCCAAATGTTTCCCCATATTCACAGACGAAATGTGAAAGTGCTGAGTTCCAAGAGACATTTCCTCCTCCTCTAAGACAGTCATAGAAATGGAAGCATCCCAAGCCTGCAACTATCCTGTGAACTACAATGAACAATACTTACACATCTGGTCTCGATCATCTGTCCTCTAGTGAATCTCTGGTAAACTAGTTTGGTTCAAGGCTATTGCAGAGGTGTAAGTTTATTTAAACAAGATTGAGCTCCGAGCAATAGCAGAAATAGCAATTAATGATGGAAACTTTGAAAAGAACAGCCATGGGAAGGTAACAAAGATGGGCCTGGGGCTAGAAACTAGTCTTGAACCAGAGTAGCAAGTGTCCTTTTGTATGGACTGGGTTGGGCCTCAGATGGACCAGGACTATATTCCACCACACTGGACTCCCTAAGTTTTCTCCATCTAAGCTTCCACAGGTAATGAACAGTCAAAAAACAGGTGCTTCTTCAACGCTTTCTCATTGATGTAGAAAAAAATTTCCTGAGATTCTTCCTCTTCGTCAGAGCATAAAGATTACAGCCTACCAGCCTCAGGGAGGGCTCTCTTTTTCCGCCTGTCCTGCCTGGCTTTGCAGGACCAAGGTGCACACAGGGATGGCCTGGAAATGCCATTCACAGCAGCACGTTCAATACGTGGCATATTTAAATAAAGCAACGTTGTTCTGAAAACGATAACCTGCTAGGATTTTAACAGGGATTCTTGTTTTAAAGTTGGCAAACAGCTCGTCTTTTACGTGACAGCAGAATTTGTCCGAGTACCTGAGAAAAAGGCAGCAACGGCGCGGAAGTAAACAAGCCCCGTGTGTGGGACTCGACTGCCACCATGTGGCTGAACAGACACCCCACAGCGGGGCCAGTTCCCAGACTCGGAGAAGCTGCCCTGGAGGACAGAAGCCTTCCTAAAATCGACCTCACAAACTTTCCGTCTTTATTATTATGTGCCTGGATCAAGGCGTAATCTCTTTCTAACAAGTCTCAGAAAACAAAATAAGAACTATGATGGAAGGAACAGAGAGTAGAGAGTGGAAAGCAAAAGAGAGAAGGCGCAGAAACTTGGGACAGCAGAAACGATTCCACGGCAGAACCCAGATGGTCATCTGCTTCTTGACCATCTTTTCTACTTCTTTATGATCAAGGGCACCAGGAACCTCCAAATGTTGTTTAAACTTGAAGTAGGAAACACACGTCTCTGTGTCATCCAAAGTAATGGGGTGATACAGTTAGTTATACATATGACCTCAGACATTTGCAATTAGACTTGAAAATTTTAAACTATACTTGACTGGGACATGGAAAAGGAATTGTCTAATATTGAGAGAAGGCACAACATATTACTCTACATTTTGAACATCTAATTCACTCAGTTTTGTGCCTCACATTCCTGCTCAACTGTTTAAACCAGGGAGTCACTCTTTCTTCTGACTAAAGTAAAAAAAAAAAAACCAAAAACAGAATCTAAACAGAGGTGATTATTTCTTGCAACTTTCTGCCTGCTTATCTTCTCTGGGAGCCAAGTAGATAATTAAGCCTTGTGGCTTTAGAGAACTTTTCTGAAAGTTAATCCCAATAAGCAAATAAGGTTTTATTAAGATAAGGGTCGGAGGGGCTGATAATGTCAACAAAAGAGAAAGAATTCTGCGCAGAGGTAATAAAGATTAAGCACAGGTCTTCAATCCATCTTTGGAGTTTGGCACACATTGGATCTAGAATTTTAGGGCAGTTTTCAAAAATAAGCCTAATTTATACAAGATTGAGCTCCGAGCAAGAGCAGAAATGGCAATTAATGATGGAAACAGAATTTATAAGCTGGACAATATATGCTTTGATTACAGTGAATCAAAAACAAATAAAAGTCAGAATTAAGTAACTTCAG